CTTTTGTATTCTTAGAACTGTACATCGCTAAACAAAGCCTAAATAAATATCCAATATCAAAATATTTGCCAAAGCAATCGAAGCCCACCAAACCGTCCGCCCACCGCCCGCCCCTGCGGCCGCCACTCGCCAAACATTCGCATCTAATAAAACTGCGAAGAAATTAACGAAATTTCCAAGTGGAAATAAAACTTATTGGAATGATAAAAGGCGCGTTGCCGCTTGCCAAGGCAGAATAACATAATTCGTTCCGGGCCGACGAGCGCTCCGTGTCCGCAGAAACTCGAACTTTGCCGGAGAAGTGCAACATCACTAAAGGTGGAATCGCCGGGATTTTGGCGTAGCATTTCACAACTCGTTCGCAAAAGTAAAAATACAGGTCAGCGGTTTTAAGCCAGGCATCATGCAAATGCTAAACAGCGCTCCGTGAACTTAACTTATGTTGGTTTATCCAATAAATGTCGCGTACAGTATTCCCGTCACGACGTGCCACAATGAATCTATTGTTCTTATTCAAATTGGCTCATTCCCTCCACAATCGAAAGGGATGCCGGAGTTTGTCTAGGCTTTCCGTATTATTGCACTTGTATTACTGCGTTTATGAATATACATAAGGCGTCATGCTGAGAACCACACGCAAAAACATGCACTGTACACAAATGATGATGTCTGAGTGAGTATAGCCAGCGGATTGGGTTGTTTGACGATGCAGTTGAAGATAGTTTCAAAAGGAACAAAAAGCTGTTGGCGAACAAACAGCGTTGACGGGTGGAATCTGGGAGAAAATCTTTCACAACTTTTCCAAGGCAGTTTTGTATTACCTGTAAATTTTCTCGAAGTTTGTTTAGAACAATGTGTCACCACAAGGTTTAACAATTTTTGTGGTGCTATTTTTACACATTAATCAATTCCTACAGATGAACATTATACAATATTTATTTTACCGACAATTGTTTAATTCGGTCTTTATGAAAAAAGTAGTCAAAAATATCAAATATTTTTTGTTCTTGTCAATATTTGTTCTATGATGACTGCACGATGTTCATGGCGATGTTAAAAATAGTTTTTCGCGCAAGTCCTAATCAATAATTACATCACTAATGGTTTTTTCATGATTCTTGCTTCAAGCCAAAAACCGAAAAATTGTGTTTTTGACAGTTTTTATATGTATATAAATATTAACAATACCAAAATGCTTTCTTATTGCTCAACTGATTTGTAATCATTTAAAGATCAACCATAATTTTTACAACGTTAAATTTCATCCCCGATTTTGCACCTTTACGAATTACGTGTTTCCTTCACCCTTACCGGGTGAGTCACTAAGCGAGCGGTGCTCGAAATCTCATTAATTATTATTAAAGATACAACAAAAAAGTCGAAAACCCAAATTGTGCGATTCTACCCTGTAACCTGCATCATCCTCTATTTTTTGTTCATATTCTTCTAATATGTCCATGTGTCTCTTAAAAAAGCGAAAATCCCAGTAATTATTATCAACTTTAGATATAGAAAGTACTCATCAAAAAAAAGGAGAGAACAAAAAATTGAGTAAGATGCGGTAATAAAATAGGGTGTTCAGTTTGAAAAAATTGAAACACATCGATATTTGAAAATTGGAATAAATTAAAGATTTTTATGAACACTCTGTACATGAATTTTCATTTCAGTTAAAAACAACCCTATTGCGATTTGTTTTGTGAACCCTACCATTGCTAAACAATTTCAAGAAAATTGGAACAACGTGGCAACGTTGCATCGGTATTTCAAAAATAAACTGGGAGAGGAAAATCAAAATACATATGTAAAAATATAAAAGACGTTTCATTTAAAAAAAGTTGTGAGTTATTTTGGCCTTTGACTTTTATTTCTTTTTCTAAAAAGTAATTAATGAGACATTGAGGATCGCGCGCTTCAAATAAATAAAGTTTATCCCCTAAATCACACCCTTAGCGGTGGAATTTTCAAAAATCCTTGCTCATTGCTCACCTAGGACATAAGGCAAGTCTACTGTCCAAATTTCATGTTTCTGACTTAAGTAGTTTCGGCCCTGTGTTGATGGGTCAATCGATCAGGAGTTCTCTCTTGTTACTTATTATACTAGTACAGATTAATTCGTAGTTGCAAAAAAAATTGCGCCTAAATCGTTACATCTCCTACATGGGATAAAGAAACCGCGGCGCGCAAGTGACCCACATCCGATGAAAACAACTGCTTTAAATTAATGATTTTTCATTGTTGCCAAAACTTTACAGATGTAAAAAAGAGCTGTAATGTAATTAGCAAAAATTGCGTAACGAAATTTACTTTTAATTATTTTAGTATATTCTTGGAAAACTTCTCGAAAGAAGCAAATTGAATTTTTTACTACAAAGTGGAAAGGTCCGTTTGAGGCGACATTAAATTTAAAATTAAATTTTAGTGAATATACTATATCTAGTTCCGGTTTCAAGGAGTGAATATTGATGAAATGATTTTTGCGACACTTACTGGAATGGGGGATTATGGGAATAACACAGGAATCACAATTTTGGACATATATAGTACCATAATCCTACGAGATTTGTCCCGATTTATTAAAAAAGTGGGTGGGATTTGGTCAATATTCGCTGTTTTTAAAATCGAAAATTAAATCTCACCTTACCAAACTTAATTTTAAAGATCCTAACACATGCGGTTCAATTAAAAAAAGTTATCAAGTTGGTCGATATTTTGTAAACATTGTGAAGTATGTCTACAATAAATCTAAAATTTAATTGATGACAGCTGACAACGCGAAACTGTAAAACTTAACCTCACTTTTTCGTCAAGTGTCAATTATACACAACAGTATGGCTTAAGACGACACTTAACACACTATTTGCTTCTATCAAAAAACACCGCCAACTTGATGACTTTTCTAGCTGAATACCCGTTAATTCCGGTTATTTTTATCATGGAATTTTTCAGATTGACAGTATCTCATAAAGTCTGGAGATTTTTTAAAATTAAAGGATAACAGAGAAAAACACGTTTCTGTAAATCATAGTTGTGTACCATGCTCCCACTTTTTTTTTTGATATATTTTAAAATTTATTAACAATATCAATGTAGCAACTGAAATTTCCAAATTTCGAGGATGTAGAAGCCAAATTTTGTTTTCCACCTCGGTATTCAAAGTATCTAGATCCACTGCTATTGTGGTGATATGACATCTTTAATTACATTTCAAAATGGTGTTCAAAATTTTACTTTATGATACAATATTTAGTTTCCTTGTTAAAAAAAAATCATTTACGGTTAAAATAAGAACACTACTTTTGTAAGGTAATAAATTTTTACAAGTAAAAAGTCAACCATTCGTAAAACCATCGAGGGAAGCTTAGCAGTTGGCAAACGGTGGACAGGGGCGGATTATCTACTGTGCAACTAATTTAACTAAGGTGTCTGTAATAAGTGTTATTTGTGCTTATACGTCGGTATGTAGTTAACTTTCAATAGTATGAAATTATTTTGTTTCAGTATTTAGCCAAATGAATTTATTGCCGACCAACTCTCTTCCTCAATACAACCCTGAAATTTACGCAGATGTCAAGGTAGCACAGGTCGTCTGTGAAGGATCGACTCTAAATGCTCTAAATGACAATAACAGAACCATAAAATTTTAATAGAACACAAAAATAGTGTCTTTAAATATGTTATCTTTTTATTACTATGGATACTACTTCAGCTCCCGTTCGTTTTTAAGGAAGTTAAAAACTGTGGCTGTAATGTCGACAATAAAGTTAAATTCTCTTCGGACAGATGTTACAAAAGATCTCCGTAGCTGAACTAGATGTTCTAAAATTAAGAAAATCGCTATGGTTCGGAAACAAGTAATAGAACAATTCATTCAAGTGGTTAACACTTAAGCATTTGTTGCGTTGTAAAATGTAAACTTGTTTCCAACCGTAAAGCAATTACACACAGAACTGTTGGGTTACAAATGACCAAATACGAGACTACAGTCTATGTGATAATTGTAATTAGAACGAAAGCGGAGCTTGTATTTTTTTCCTCTAGAGTCATTTTTATACATTTTCATTATCCCTTCACATAAAAATTTCATGAACTTTATGCGTTACTTTACGTCCTCAACCATAAATCATGATTCCTTTTACATAAAAGGACTCAACAACCAAGGCGTCACTTTTACCTTTTTGCTAGTCCAGAAAACGATAAAACGAAATTAGGCGTGAATCGTAAACGCAATACTACGGAACAGAACCAACTAATCCTCGTAACCGCAAACCGCATTATATTACCATTGCATAATTCCTGCAAATGCGTATTTTCTCAAATATCTTTCAGCATTTGCATTTTGAATATAAACCTAACCTACGAACGATCGTCGCGGAATAAGACCGTATTGTGTAATTACCAGCCTTGACTCGATGACGCCACCACCGACAAATTAAAAATGCAAATTTCCAATTAAAAGAAGAATTAAGACCTCGCATTCCACGCGTCGCAGGAGTCCAGCAGGAATTCACCGAAAGAATGATGTCTGCGATTGTTCCACTCTCACTCCGGTCGGCTGGAGTCCCTTGAACTTGCAACAGTTATGATGAATCACTGTTCCGAAGAGAATAACGAAGGAGATTTGCTCAAGGAAGTAATAATTCGGCACGCGATCCCGAGTTTTTAACGCATTTGCAGACTAGAAAGCGAAAATTACAATTTGGAGGTCGGAATTGTACGTGTGGGCTCGCTGAAGAAAAAACTAGTCTTATGGTAGGAGTCGTTGCGGTTGCGGACACCCACGGACTCAGTCACCTGATTGCTCAACCGATGGTCAATCTTCAAGTGTTGTAACTAAATGTAGATGTTCGTGATGCAGCTCCGCTGAGGAAGCCCTACCGCATGATTTATCATGGTGTAATTAAACTATCAAGTAAATTTCACCGTAATTCATAGCAGGAAACGGTTAATAATCTTGGGGCTTTTTAACTTAGGTGCCGAGAAGTTGAACTGTAGCTTACCATTTTGTCGAAGTTTTGGCGGAGGCTCCTCATTGTCGCTGGATTCGGGCAGTGGAGAGTGGTCATCTGGAACAACAAAGTTTATTTCGATTTGGAGTGCAAGTACTAGGGGAGACAATAACGATCCAGTTTGTTGAGAAGTTTAAGTAAAGGTTTCGTTGGGCGTCACTTCCTGCTATAATACAAACATTGCTTATCCGGAGAATGAATCACGGGCATTGTGCATAATGCAGTGGTTACCCGTTATGGTTCACCATTTTAAAAATGCATTGTAGGAAAATCAAACAAATACCGCGTAGGAGGTTAATCCAGATTACATCGTCGTTTCTGCAAATAGAGAATGTTTGCAATATCGAACAAGATCATACATTATCTTATGAACTTCGTGACCCTGGAGAATTGGAGATTCATACCGCTGCAGATAATCAAAACGTAGATTTGATTACATATTTCATAAATGAAATGAAAGGAAAGTGAACATGCTGTTTGGAAGAAATCATCATTAATGTTAACAATCGCTTTGATGAATCTGGTATCAAGGGAATATTAGAAACACAAACATGGGTCAAGTAAGCTTATAAATAAATATCGGGTCCTCTACACCATTTAGTCGCATATTAGGTATTTTTATATTCAAATTGGTATCTTCAAATACGTAGGTACATTTACCTTCAAATTATTTTGAATATTTCAACTTATTCAAATGACACTATTCATTTTTTGGAAGCTAATACTTTAGTATACAGGGTGGCACAGAATTATATATTTATAATTGCAAATCTCCATCAATGTCTGTCTGTCTGCCGTCTGTGTCGATTTTTTATTAGACATAATCTCTGAAACTACAGTCCAGTTCTTTTGATGTAATTTTTTTATCTTCGACACTCTGCCAGAATTAAAAGATTATTGCCAATTTTTATGTCTGTTAGGAACATCTATTCTATTCAACTTGATGAAATAATATACGTACTCCTTTACTTGTCCTTTATGAAACCCCCTTGTAATTCTTTATTATCACTGTAATTTTTATTGTTTGAACCTTCTTCTTTAATTACATAATATTAACTACGTAAGCTGACTCATAGATCTGTGGAAGGCCGCTATGATTACCAGATGGAAGATCCTGAGTTCGATTCCTGACGGTGTTTCCAATTTTTTTATTGCCCAAATCAAGAACGATATGCCACTTTTTTTTACTATTTGTATTACACTGGACGTGTCAGAATTAACATACGTGTCCTTGCCGAAATGTTCGTAGTTTCCAATGGAAAAACTGACTTGGAGTAATTGTTAATCGAATATCCGTTTCCTATCATCGACTAGTATTATTTTCGCAATATCTAAGGATTTCCTTATGATATCAGTAACTTTTGAACTATGCACTTTGAATGACACACCTTTTATTACATTTTAGAACCAGTATTTATTACTACAGAGTATCTACAAATGATTCATACATTCAGCACTCGTTCGAGAATGTTAGTTTTTCTAAATTAAAGATTTTTGCCTCTTGTAAAAAAATGTACGGATCATTTATAGACATTTTGTATAACCCTACGTTAAGTAAACAATATCGTATCTACCCAGATAGCCAGTAGTGCACAGTTGAATCAGAAAACCGTAAAGTGTTGTGTTAAGATTTGAAATATGCGCAAGATATAGCTGAGAAAGTTTTACCAGAATACAATAACATTCAAATTTCACGTATTTTATTGTGTGGGTAATTTTGTGGAAATATTCACTGCTTATAATTCAAAAACATAAAAAAGTTACATCTTACTTACTTTTCTTATTTCAGTTGAAATAAATTTCAAGCGATTTATGCACTACACAAACATTCTGCTTTATTGATCATTCGCCAAGAACTTCTGGCGTATTGTAATCGAAGTTTCATTAAAAATGAACTGAATATCACAAAAAAATTGAGCTAAATGTAAAACTCAAATGAGCGTTATTTCACAAAAAATATTCACGATACGAAAAATATTTGCACCATATACTATAACCTAAACTGAATCAAAAATAACGATTAAATGCTTCATTAATTTCCAAATTTTCCAAACTGATTTGTTTTGTTTTAACTCGATTTGAAAGAATTATCCAATACGTTTAGAAACACATGTCTTGGATGTTCCCGATTTTAAATTTCTTACAATTTAATGACTCGTCAAAATGATCTGCACATCTGGACCGTTTAACGAAGTAATGCTTACGGTTTCACAGCTTACTTTAGAGAAGGCTGTTTTGATTCATAGGAACTGTAAAATGTTGACAGTGAATGTTAATACCCAGCAACACTCCCATTTATTAATAAAGACATGTATTTGGAAAACGCCATTATAGCGATTAAGTCAATCAATACTAATTATCAATCGGCTGCAGTCAATTACAATTCATAGATTCACTCATTACCCGCCCTTGATTATGATGTTCAGGAACAGGTCCGGCTTCGATCAATTACAGTCTCTCAGATGAAGCATAGCAATCATAACACTGGCAAATGAGTAAAAAACTGCACAATCACAAAGTGTTCGTTCGTAATTATGGAACTGGGGACATAAATTCATCATTCAAAACCTTAAGCACCTACAGCGGTGTCGGAAAGCTCTTTCGAATTATCATCAAACTTCCAAAATCCAACTGTCGCAGGGGTCCATTTGAAATTTAAACCGCATAAAACATTTCTCGGTACACTACAATGAAAACAATGACTAAGTAACCCGTTAAGCTGCACGAAAACGAGGCATTAAAGCCATCACGATAAGCCAAGTTTTTCCTGCCCCTTGGGGGGGAGATAAATCACGTGGCTCTAACACACGTAAAGCGGTCATGCATGGCACAAGCGTATACTTAAGTGAAGGTATCGGCACTTGAGGAGATTTATTAAAAAGATTATGAATTGCTTGTTGCATACCGACATCTAAAATTGAGTTGTGTATCGTGAAATATGAAACGTGCCGTAACACCTAATTGTATAATTCCCGAGAGGTCAAAAATCTTGGCTTTCTAGCCGGGATCCTGCTCGTGTTAAACGATGGAACAATATTGACATGGCTTTGTCATCGCCAAACTTCACTGTTGTTCTAACGAATGACCTTTAAGTTTTATTTGGTAACTTGACGCTAACTCGAGTTTTCCTTTGGAAAAATAATATTTGGCCTGCCACTTAGACCGTTTCCTCCAATTCCTAGAGTAACACGAAATTTTCTCCAAGACGTGAGCTTCGTCCTGCTAATTGGTTCGTCAATAATCACGCCAGTTGCTCACACTTCGTAAAAGCCACTATCAGTTTAACCAACAACGCATCATTCATTAGGTTACACACTGTGACAAAAAAATTCAGTACAGAACTGTGATTTTGCAGTTAAAATTAAGTGTCACACTAGTATCTAAACACATCCACAGAGAGGGTAACTCTAAACTGTTTTAATATTTTTAACCCTTAATTACGCATAATTTCGCTCTGTAATATTTTTTCGCAAGCCGCCGAGGTTGGGGACCGCTGAGTTAACCTATTCTGGCTTTTACGATAGGCTCCATTACCATACAGCAGCACCATCCCGTTTTGGTAAATGAGGCCCTCGTAAACTTTTACGGTGTTTTATTACTCGAAGGAAATAAATTTTCTTGTCGGATCAAAAATAAGTGGGAAAGGAGTAATTAAGTGATTAAGTTTTCGTAGAGTTCCCAGCCTAATAAACAGACAGCCTAAACCAATCAGCGAGATATGCTAATGGGGCGCCTTCTGATGGAGAAATTAAAGAATTACGGCGGAGTTGTTATCAGTGTTATTGTCGGCAGCATCCCTTCTAGGACCGAGCAATAAAACTTGCTACTTTACCTCAGGCTCAACGCCGTCGATAATATCGCCACTGAAAATAGAGGGGTATAAAATACATATTAATCATATTTTAGTCATGGTGGATTACTGGGCGAATGACGCGATAAGATACGGCTTTTCTAACTTGGCCGTGGGGGAGTAAGAGCTTGTAAGCTTGGGGGAGATTGAAACTGGCATACGCTTGATCGATGTCCGCATGTTCCCAACTACTCCCAGGCTCGTGTTACAATCTCCTGCAATGATCGTTATCGAATTACCCGAATTACTCTTCCGATTCCTCCAAAACAACGCTGCGGGATAAATTTTTCCTTGTAACCCCAAAATTAATTACTTCGTCAATTCGGATCCGGGGTAATATATGGCAGAGTGGAAATGACGTCGCATTATGGCACTCGTGGGACTTCAAAGCAAAGCGAATGTCTATAATTTGCAAAAAATATTGCGATTTGGCTACAGGTTCTTTTGACGATGCAGATTTAAATCTAGAAACATTAGCTACGTTTTTGATTTTTACGTAAAGTCCCCGTGTATAACACACGTGTGGGTCGAAATTTATTGCATGGTGATTGTACTTTATCGCGTAAATCAGTTCAGCAGTGGGTTAGTTCGTAATAAAAATTAATTCATAAATTGACCCAAACCCGGCAAGGTGAGGCAAGACATGGGCGGACCGGACTCGAAATCTCGTCCTCGATTAAACGGTTTCCACTTAACAAATTAAATTTTTATCGGGACTGTAGTAGCGAGATTTTTTTCATAATTAGTCTTCTTCTGACACCGCCCCGAGTACTCCGCACTTTGTTCAAACTAACCTGACCGGAACTCAGATCTCGAGAGAATGGGCAAACACCTGCTCCATTATCGAGGATTCTTGAAATTTTGAAATGTTCGACTTGCTGAAGCAATTTATAATCCGGTTTCTTTTTTGCCTCAGTGTATCGCATCGATAACTACCTGAAATCGAGCTTGATGGCCATAATTACGGCGTATAGGGAAGCCGAGAAAGCAAGGGGAATGGGCGATTAAGCGAAAATCGACAACCGCGCAAAAAGTTGAATAATTATTGTTCCATGTAGTATGAACCGATTTTAAAGTCTGCTGGTTTAAGTAATGAAGGGTGATGCTATTCGACGCTAGTGAGGCTATTACTCTTTCCCCATCTGCTACTTTTGACATACAAGTACATAGGAAAGGTGTATGTGTGCCGGAAAGGGGCTTTTAATCG